TTGCTGTTGCAACCGGGATCTCTATCCACTTTCGCTTTTGCATCGTTGTCATTCCGTGTTTTCAGCTAGGTTACGGGGCTGGGATGTACAGCCAAGCTGTGCACCGTCTGGATCCAATCCATTCAGCTAGGTTACGGGGCTGGATGTACAGTCAAGCTGTGCACTGTCTGGATCCGTGGCAAAGTCATACTGTTTTCTTGACTATCCAGCTGCGTATGCACGGCTGGGTGACTAAGCTAGTGCTTAGTGAACACACCTTTCCTGGAATTAAATGGGCAGTTCAAAAATAGTGTCAGAATTCAATAAAGACTTGATAGAAGGAAGAAAAAGTTGCTTAAAGAGCTCACCTGTGCTCAGTCTGAGCAGTCAGAGTCTGAGCTGTTTGGTGCCGAACCCGTTGGCTGACCAGAGAGCAGGGAAGGTGGTGGATAAAAATATTGTAAATGGATTTCAAACTTCAAACTTTTAATTTTACAAGTCACTGGCCCGCCGCGACATGCTGAGTGCTCCGAGAGAGGGACGTTTCTTTTCAATGTTCTATTCTCTCCCTCTCTCTCCCTCTCTCCCTCTCTCTCACACACATACACACACACACACACGCACACACACATACCCACACACATACCCACACACATACACACACACAGTCTGGCACAGTTATGCTTTTTTTTTAGTGTAATGCGGGCGATGTCATGTGGAAATGGCAGCATGTAGGGCGGGTCATACAATGTAGAGAGGTTGCCTTGTAAGTTGGAGGGTGTATGTGGGGCGAGGTCTCGCCAGCAAAGAGAATCGGATACGAAGTCCGAATCGGATACAAGGTCTCGATTGCTCTGTTTGCTCTCTCGCTACCACTTCTTACTGGACGTGGTTAGGACCAGGTGCATCCAGGGGGTGCTGGGAAAACCGTCACATACATCCAGTGAAGTCCTATTGCTACTATGCCTTGAGGATGTTAATCCAGCGATTTGTTTTTTCTGTTTTTCAACCATTCCCAGATTTATGTGTGCCATTCTTGCGCAGGGGCCATGCTAATGTTCTTTGCTCCATCTTACACATGCGTGTCATTCTTGCTGGATGTATATGACCTCTTTTCCCACCACGCCTGGATTCACCTGACCGCAATTATGTCCACAGAGAAGAGGAAACAGTCCTAGTGTGAGTATGCCCTAACAGTCTTCAAGGGCGAGGTCGAACATGAGCCACGAAACGACGAAGGCAAATCTTCGCGACGCACTTGAAAGAAAGGGGCTGTCGAAATGTGGTGCGGCAGGTTGGGCAAGATCGAGGATAGCCTTTGTTATTCTCTGTGCCGTGCTAGTCTTTCTACTAATCTTTCCTCCCCTCTTTCTTGCTTATCCACATCACCCTTATTCTCCTTTCTTCGTTCTCCTCGAGGCCTTTCTCGCGGTTTTCCATCTCCTCGTGTGTTTCTCGTTCTCATCTTTTCCTCTCGTCCGTGTTTTCCCCCTGTCATCTTCCTCCTCGTCTTCCCCCCTCTGCCACGGTCATCTTCGATGAACGGTTCCATCGTCCCGAATAGCAGAGCATCTCTCTCTCTCTCTCTCTCTCTCTCTCTCTCTCTCTCTCTCTCTCTCTCTCTCTCTCTCTCTCTCTCTCTCTCTCTCTCTCTCTCTCT